TGGTTTGGACCCACAAAACATTTTAGATCTTCTTGAAACATGTGTTGAATTAGATTTCAATGAATTAGTTGATGACTTGTAAAATTTTTTGATCAGTGAAAGCAAAGAATGGATTCAAAAAAAAAAATATCACCAAACCTCATCAAAACATCAATTGTTTTACTCAATGGCCACTTCAAAGAATTAATTTATAGAAAACCTGAGCTTGGCCTAAAATCCAACAACTTCACAATAATTGAAAAAACAGAATTAACAGCTTTATTAGAAAGAGATGATCTAGCATTAATGTATTATTAAATGGGGTATAGGTCAAAATGATATGTTGGAAAAGAATATTTCAGAGTGGAGCAAAGGTGACTTCAAGGAGTTGAGAATATACATGCAGCCCAAAGTATTTTGACAGTGTCATAAAGGTGGTTACACATGTAGTAAAGAGGTGTTACACTTATGTTTTTAATAGTGAATGCTGTAATTAATTTCTACTTTCTACTATCAAAATCACCAAACCAATTTGGGCTGCATGTATAGTTGAGAAATATATTAAAAGATCTTATTCCACTGATTAGATTTAATAACATTTCTTCAAGTGACTTCAAAGAAAAATTAGTCCATTTAAAAAAGCTTTTGATAATGAAATATATGGAGAACCTCTTAATTATTATTTTAATTATGAAAGTTGGCAGCCCATTTTGCTCCTTCAAGAAGATCCAAGAACAAGGGTTAAAAAGGGAAGGTTGATAAATTTGAAATTAGAATCTTTAATTTCTGGTTGGATCAGCAAGAAAGACAAAAGTGATTGTAATAAAAATAATGCATCATATAAATTTACAGTGGAAGTCAGAATGGATTCACAAAATCAGTAGTTGTGCAAAAATGTTATAATATTGAGAAACAGTGGTTTTGATAAAAATCAAAGAGACAAATGAATTGTTAGGTGGTTATAATCCTGTTGGCTGGAATATATAAAAAAAAATCATTGGATGAAACAGATAAAAGTTTTATCTTTAAAATTGATAAAAATAAGTCCAGCAATTCAATAATAAGTAAAGTTAAAAAACCCAATTGTGCAATATATCATGATGACATTAAAGACTAGTGCTGTAATCCAAAAAAGGAAAAAGTATGGTTGCAAAAGTGGTTGCAAAGGTAATTGCAACCACTTTTTATATGCAGTAAATACAATTACTAATCATCATAATTTACGGCACTAGTCTTTAGATGACATCAGATGTGCTGGTGAAGAAATAATCTTCAACTTTACAGATTTAAATTTATATATTAGGTAGACAAATAATAGACCATATTGTTACTATTATTTTGATCATAGTATTTCTATATATGAGAAATATTTATGTATTATAGATGGTCATCACATTTTGGAGGAATGTGAAGTTTATGGACTATCAGACAAATCTTAATTTAGAGCAATATTTTTAACTATTTTATTATTGCATCTTTATATGTGTAATCTTTATCTAATAATAAATTGCAGACTAATATCATTGCTTGTTTAAAAATAAAATATAACACCTAAAACTATGAATGAGCCAAGAGTTTATCTTTTACTTTGAACTTAATGTTCAAATCACAAATACAATCCTAGAAGTCAAATCACTTCTAATAATCAGTAATTACCTTTGATTGTTTCTGGAGAAAACAATTTCCGTTCCTTTATTGATTGATCTATATTTATATGAATTACAATAAATAATAACAAATAATAATAATACATATTTCTTGTGCGAATGTAGAAAGCATATGTTTCCCAGGACTCTTAAAGAACTTAGAAGGGAACATAATTAATATTTTAAGATAGAATTAACGTTCTACAACATCATCTAATGTCTACTAATTGAATTAAACGCATAACTCCTAGACAAATAATTGATTAATGTATTGTGTAACATCTACCCATTAATTAATATCATATTCATAATATTTCTCGAGTTAAAATAAACTATTATTATACTATTATACTTAATTGTTATGCCATTACACTTGAGCCAAGAAATAATAGGCTTGAATTATCAAGCCAAGTTTGGGTCAAGCTTGAGCTAACATTCAACTCGACTTGGCTTAACTCAGCTCCACTCCAACTCAACTTGAATCTTGATAACTTGAATTTTAAAAAATTTAATTTAATTGTATAAGCAATTAATTTGATATGTAAACAAGCAGGTTTTAAAAATCACTTATAAACACTGATTATATAATAAATATTGTGTATATTAGAAATTGATTTCCTAAAATGATAGGACTATGTAAAATCTTTGATGGGGGCGAAAAACTTGATGAAAAATAAAGGTTTAAATAAATTATATTTAAGATGAAAGCTTGAATGAAATCACTAGAGATGTTCTGGTGTGCATGTGATTTTTTTTTTTCGTTTAAACTACATTTTTATAAGAAGTTTTACAAAAAAAAAAAAATCAGTGTTCAATCATGAAAGAGAACTCTTTAAATCATGGTTGGAGTGGAACATTAGTATTGGTAGTTACTTATTGGGAAAATGCCAAAAAGGAAAAGATAAAATAGATAATAAATTTGTTCCTATTATTTTCCTTCTAGAAATCTTGGGTAATAACACACCTTCATGCTTGCTTTCTTTTTCTAACATTTATTGTTTTTCTTTCTTCTTTGATAAATTTCATTGGTAATCTTTTCTTTTCTTAGATAAGCTTCAAGTGTCCGGTATCATTTATCTTGAAAATGTAAGGTGCGATTTTCTCACCTTGTTCCTTTTTCAAAATACTTCTGATAGTACTATAATTCTTGGGTTCCATAGTAGATCTGATGTAAATTAACTTCATATTAATATTAACTATTTTTATATAGAGGTAATTCTTAATCTTAAGAGGATAACAAATGGAAGATTTTAATAATCACATTACTAAATTTGATCCCTGAAATTTTAGTATACCAATGTTCACTTTGTCTGGTTTTGTTGGAGCATGCCCCACATAATCTTTTTCGAACATTCTTAAAGAGACAACCGGGTATTCGTTCTTCAACATGTAGTTGTAGAATACCAAAGAGAATTTTTCAGCCTTATGGAGAATAATCATTTTATCAAGTTGTCTATGGAGGATACGGGACTAGGAAGACAACATTGACTAGAATTTCAGCAAAATACATTGCTTTCCAACATTACATCGAATCTCTCCGACTTACTGAAAGATTTCATATATGTTATATGGCTAAGATCTTTGAAATTTAATAGGGAATTGATGACACGCTTCCCTACTTCATGATTCTCAAGAAGTTGTGCAGTTTTGAATTTTTCTCAACTTCAGTTAAGGCTTGCTGTTTAATGACTACAGGAAAGAGTCAAGCAAATTAATACTATGTAAATTCAATTGATGCAAAATATTACCTTCGAGTAACTGTCCAGTAAAGAAATCATCTGCCACAGTCTTCAGCTCTATGATACGACCATCAACTAATTCATGGATTTTATTTTCTTCTGAAGAGTTAATTTCGCGCTTGTTGATTTAATGATGGGTTTTGTTCTTTTAAATTTTGTTGATAATCCACACATTTATGACGCTAAAGTTGGTCATTAATTCTTGTTTTTTCAGAATCCAGCTTTTGATAAAATTGTGGCTTACAAGTTTATAGTACATAGGCAACCCCGTTAAACCGAAGGCAATTGTGCAGGGACTTTTCTTCGGATTAACGGGGTTTTTTATAATCTGAAGTTATTATTAGGGTCATAAATTTAAAAATTTAGGATTTAGAATTTCCTTTATCCATTTTCTGGCAGTGAATTTATTTGGATTCAATGATAAAAAATAATCACTCTTTTTTTAGAATTTAAGAAACAGTAGATTCACTGACATTATATTTAGATGCAAGCTGGTTATTTTTTATGTTTGGGTCTTTATTTTTTTCAACGCATATTTATATTTTTTGTGAGATTGTTATAGGCGTATGTTTTCTTTTTGCTACCCCAACTTCTTTTTCAGTAGATTTTTTTTTCCTTTTATTTGCACTAGAGGAAAGTCTACCCTGGTTATTAATTTTTGTACATGTTGTGCGTGAAAATGAAATTTATGTGAATTTGCAATTCACATATTCAAATTAGCAATCAGAATTTCATATCCAAACGCTTCACCCCAAAATTTTAATTATAGGTTTCAATTTCACATACAACATACATATGTATTTGTATAACTTGTATATTATTATTGGTCCAATTTTTATTTCACTTCGGTTTATAAAAATTCGGATTAACGGGGCAATTTTACATATAAAATAGCTTCAAAAAATTTAAAATTTTCTTCAATTTATAAAGTTTATTAGTGACATTCATATTAACGGGGTAATTTAGATATCTTTGGCTTTGGTGTTTTCATTTTAACGGGGGGTTTTCGGATTAACGGGGTTGCCTATATAATTTAATTAAATTATTTTATCGTTATTTTAGATGGATAGATATTCTATTCTAATTGTATACTGATTGATTTGTTCACTCATGCGGTAAATGATGACAGTTCTAATTCCAATAATGCTATCTATCACCCAATGTAAGAGTAATTTCCATTCTCTCATTTTATAATCGTATCACATGCGAATCATCTATTACTATCCATCATCTTTAAAATACATTGACTGATCAACAAACGATTTTTTTGATTGTTACGTACTATATAGCCGCAGGCTATGTATAAATATTACATAATTGATAACAAATTTTTTTTTCTCTCTGTTTGACAAAATAATAAACCAACCAATTAATTTATTTGTAATACCGTGATTAATCTACAATCGTGTGACGTAAATTAGTGAATGCTGCCATATAAATAGGTTGAGAATTTTCGCAACTCTCTTTCTCAAAAATCAAATCTATAACTCTAATTAATATTAATATTAATGTTAATACACAAAAAAAATTCGAAACCCAAAATTTTAAAAAAAATCAATTTAAATACTTTAAAATTAATTAATTAATTAATTAATTAATTAAAAATTTATAATCAACATACGAAATCATTAAAAATATGGCATCAAAGTTACCATTAGATGTTCTCCAAATAATATTTACATTCATTCGTAAAAGTGAAAAAAAGAAACTTAAAGCTATAGGAAATTTGCATTCTTGTCTACTAGTCAATCGACAATGGTGTGAAGCAACAATACCATTATTATGGTGTAATTCATTTTATTATTTCGAAAAAGGCAATGAAAAACTAATTGATGTTTACATATCATGTTTTAATGAAAAGGAACGTACGGAATTGGAAGAACAAGGCATAAAATTATCATTTACAAATATAAACAACTCTCTTCCTACGCCTACTTCACCACCACCATCACCACCACCATCATTGTCATCATCACGTTCTTCATCTTCTTCTCATAGTCATCATAATTGTTGTCATCAAACGATACAACAACTACAACAACCACAACAGCCAAGTTTTGATTATGCAAAGATGTTGAAAAGATTAGATTATGATAATTTTTGTCATTCAGTGGATAATTGGTGTGGTAAATTGATAAAACCACCATACAATGTAATTTCATTAGTGATCAAAGCTCTGTTAAGATTGTTTTTGACTCATTCAGCTGTTTTGATACATTTGGTGATTGGTGAATGGACTTCAAGGAAATCTCCTGATTTTATATATTTAAAATTTACCGAGAAAGAATTTGAGTATTTGTTTGAACCTATAAGAAAATTAGAAATTCAAGGTGAATTCGTTAAAGACCGTTTATTAACGGGCTTGAAAGAACCATGTAAAAATATTGTAAGTATTTTTTATACGCAAGTCATGCATCTATTATATTATCTAAAGTTTATGAATTTATTTAGGAAAAATTATTTGTATATATAAAAGATGTTCCACCAAACTATGAGGAGGAATTGCACTCATTACAACAATTTGTCAAAGAACAACGTTGTTTAAAATCATTAAAAGTAGCCAATGTCGCATCGAATTTCCTCTTTCCAACAATAGCCACACAGGCCAATACTTTACGTTGTTTATATTTGTGGGGATTAAATTTCACAAACACGGACAATTACATAATACCATGGCATTTATTATTAAGGTTTAAAAATTTAGAAAAATTAAAATTTCGTAATTGTATTGGATTTGATCAACACATGAAAGATTCATTAATCAATGGTAATGTCAAAGAAATGGTGGTGGTTGAGAGGGATAAGAGTGGAAATATAAATGACAATTTGATTGTGAATGGGAGTGGGAGTGAATATTATAATAAAAGTATTATAAATAGGATGGATATATCCAATAATAATAAAATTTATTGTTGTAATGGTAGTGGATATAATAATTATAACAATCATGATGATGATAATAATCAACGAGTTTTTAAAAATTTAAAAATGATTGCAATAATTGGACAATGTAAAACATTGAATAATGAATATATATTTGAAGATGATATTAAAGAATTAATTGATTGGGGTGTTGGACAAGGTGCCATTGTATTTCTCGGACACTTTCATAGTGCAGACGCATTTTTTAAAGTTGGTAGAACGATAGAAAGCAAGTATAATAATAGTTTATTGAATTTATTGATTTATTAATTAATTGGAATAATATTGATTTTTAATTTTTTTTTTTTAGAATCTTTACTAATTTGGGAATGCTCTGATGATTTCTCCAAGATGTATAGAAAATTTTTATGTAATATAGCCCATTGGTCATGATATTATGTTATGCATACATACATAGAGTGTATATATTAATTTTTTTATAATAAAAGAAAGGACTCAATAATAATAAATGCAAATTTATTAATCACCTTTGTGGTTATTTCTCAATAAAAATTGATGGAATGTGTGTAACTTTTTTACAAATGACCATTACTATATACTTCAATTCAAAAGTATTTATATATGATTTTGTATGTAGGAAATTATTAGGTGAAATGAGATGAAATAAAATTAGAATTAGAGATAGACTATTAATAAGATAATAATTGGAATGACAAGGAAGAAAAATCATTATTATGGAAAGTAAAATTAGAAAAATTAATAACAAATATGATGATGACAACCTTTACTTAAAAGACGAAGACTATTATAGTAATAACAGAAAAATAAAATGTCAAAATCATCATAATGGTGACTTTCATTATGGAATTTATAATGATTTCGTCAAGAATGGCAAAAAACCATTCTCTCACAATTAATACTTTATTTGGGATGTGTATGGTCATTAGGTTCAGAGATTGCAACTGGTTGGAGTTAAAAGAGTTATTACAATTATAATTATAATAATAAATTTTCAAAGTTTCTTTTTCATGATATACTGTTGCAAGATAATTGGTTCGTATTGAAAGTCGATCATCTTTACCCAACTTTTAAATATTTCTCCTCCTCCGCTATTATTATTATTGTAACTTCCAACAGGCCAAACTTCTATTATAGCAGTTTGATTATTGAAAAACACTTTGGAGTCGATAATATTTGATTTTTGATCAAAATAATTTTTAATTCTATTTGCACATCCTTCACACTTGATTCCTTTAATTTTCATCACGTAGACTTCCACTTCTTCTTCTGCTTGTTCTTGTATATTTTCTTGACTTGCTTGGTTTTTTCCTAATTCTAATCCCGATCCTCCTCCTCCAAACATTCTTAATCTTAATCCTTCTCCTAACCCAAATCTTACTACTCCTCCTAACTTCCCTCCATCCACAAATTTGCCTTGATTATATAATGAAACTAATTCTGGTAAAAATGTTAAAAATATTACAATAAATAGTAATTTAAAGGTTCTTCGCTTTGATCTTAATCCATATTTATAAAACAAACTAGTTATAAATATTGCACTCATTCCTAAAAATATTGATCTGTAAGGTGTTAACACACTAAATCCTGCACATCCTATCGAGAACAAATTTAAAATCAATTGAATCAAACAACAACTTGACCCTAACAATCCGTTAATTATTGCAAATATATATTGATTATTGATAGGAGTCGATACTAATGATAATAATGAATATTTTTTCGTCATTTTATATCGTATATCCCCAAAAAAGAAAATTTATTAAGGATCTATTTAATATTTTTTTCCCGAAAAGTTCGATAGAGATAGACCTACACAGTGTTTTAGCATTATAATTAGGTGATCGACGTACATCCGTTTTATCACTTGTGACAAAATCGATCGTTGATCTTTTTTATGTTGTGAAACATGTGACTTCAATTGAAAAAAGTCGCGTGACTGGGCACAAAAACTTGTTTAATCCGAGATGTATTTTTTAACATGTATATTTTGCTTTCTATGTTCTCGGTGTGTGTGTGTGAAAAATGATCAAATGATCAAGTTGCTTTTGTAGGGTTACATAGGAGCTATAGTTCAAGCTTTAGTGATAAACATAAATATATTGTAAGACATTCTAGGCTCAGAATCATGCATTTTTGTTTTTATAATATGTTTAGTTAATACAAGCATTTCGGAAATAATCATTTCTTCAATTAATGCAATGAGCTTTGACTGATATGCTGTTTAAAAAGTATAGGAAACCTAACAATATTGATTTTTTTTGTTTTTTAATAAAATACAATTAATTTAAAATAGCTTCATATATTTTTTGATGTCTTTAATGTTCCAAATTAGTGAGCAGTTTGAGTTTTGTAAAATTTCTATATTTTTATTTTTATTTTTCCCATTAATAAATATTATATATAATTAATCCCTAAAATTTTAGAACTAACTAGATTTAAATATAAGACACATTTTTACTTGTAAACAACGTTTTTATTTATATGCAGTGAAACTTCAGTATATACTATTTGATATGAAGATTGTTACTTGAATTATTTTTGATGGTCTGTAAGGGTTAATAAGTCACATTATAATAAATATAGATAGTGATGGGAATTTTTAACCCTATTAATAGCTAATAACCACTTATTAACTGTTGCACTCTGAGCAAGAGTCATTAATCCAAAAGATCTATTTTCAATCAATCCCGGTGTATAGAATTAAGTGTGCAGAATGTGCTGTGCTAACCAAATCCAGCAGATTTGGGAAAAATAATTATCAAATTTGGTACTCCGCACGCTGTATTTTATGCACACTCATCACTTAAACTAAATTAATTATTTAACTTGTTCATCAAATTAATATTTGATTAAACGATTCAAATAATTTTTGCTATATACCAATAAGAGATCTGCACGTTTGTCTTTTTAACACTTAATAAGTCATCAATAGAGTTATCAAGTACTTAATAACTCTGTCATTTTTCAAAATAATTTTTACGCCCATCACTAAATATAGAGATATACTTCAAATAAATTATTTTTAATTAAGTATTAGTATTGCGGTGATAATCACCACTGGTGAGAAATAGCAATCCTTTTAATATTAAACAAAAATAAACAATTATAAGATGTCAAGAAAAAGCAACGTGACTGTTAAAGAAAAAAATTTGATGTGTAATGTTTGATTATTCTGAAATTGGAGTACATACACTATTTTAAACACTATACAGTCATTCCCACATTCATCATGTTGACAAGGCTGATTTGACTGCACTGCCCCTGACGATATAATGATCCAACTGACTTCCAGGGAGGGAGTAAGGACCTGGAATTTATCAATTTGCATCATTATCAAGGATGTTTCTGTGGATCCTACCTAATCCTCCCTCATAGCACCTGAGCTGGCATTACTTGGATATGTGTAATGGTTGACTTGTTTCCTGCAACAATCCTACCTTTAGGGTAAAGGTAGCTGGCTCTGCAATCAAGGAGTTGCAACTTTGGTTGAGGAGTTGTAATGTTAGATGCTAAATAAACATATAGATTCATCAAAACAATGAGAGCCTGGAACTTGTTTCAAGCTAAGGAAGAATTTGCAATTCAGAGTGGAGGTTCGGAATTTGTGCACAGAGTTGCTCTTTGGAAATAAACTAATGCTGTGGGTGAAATTAGTACATTCACCAATTGCCCATTCCGGAATTAGGTGAAATTAATTCCGCCCAATGACTGAAATGCCGAAGGCGAAATTAATTTCGTCTTCGGTGATTGGCTAAAATCACAGTTCTGTGATAAAGAAGCTCTCTTATTGACTGTTAGTTGTGTAATAAATATATATCACCATTGCATAAGCAATAAGAGTTAGCAACGAAACTATTTTGGAGGAGAAACGAAAGTCGAAACTTAAAAAACTTGTTTCTGCTTAAACAAACAAGTTTAACAATGTGACAAGAGTTTACAGCCTTTTTTATTGACTATTTCATTTAATAACATTTATGACACACACTGATAAATCAGATTAAGATAAAGATATTCCACCAATGTTAAAAATCCGAAACTAAAAATTGAATTTCGCCCGCAGCATGAAACTAAACATTAGTGTGTGATAACATAAAGCAAGCATCATACAGATGCTGGTTCTCGATGCTCATATGGTAACAACCAAGCTCGGTCTGAAGTGAAGTTAAGGAAAATTTTTGTACACCTTATAATGCCTTCCTTCCAATATGTTTTTGGCTCACCGGAAAAAAATTACACAGTTATGGAGCATGTGAAAGCATGACATTGCATATTTGTGATAGGAAAATTTTATTAAATCTGGCACCTGTAATCAACATTATCAAATTTATTATTCATAATACATTCATTTATTTATTGTGAATCCCGGAGATCTAGGTAGACACAAAAAATATTGTTTCGAATTCACTCTTGGTATTATTCATTACTTGAAGATGCAATTATTTGTTATGTTAATGATAATATCAAATGTATTGAATAATCATTGTGATGAATGCGGAGACAAAGGAATTCACACATGAGGAAAGTATTCAATAGCAATATCGTGTTTGTTTATTTTAATTTTTTTTTAATCAAGATATATAATTAATTGTATCAAAAGTATACAAAATAGAAAAATTGCTGGACCAATCATACCATTACATGTTCCAAGGTCAATCAAGCAATTATTTGTAATCTTATCAAAGGGGATAAGTTTGTACGCAATTTAAAATTTTAGGGTCACATCGTTCTTTGTTCTTGTAGTAGCATTTTACAAATCAAGTTATCATTAAAAGGAAAAAATAAATCAATATTGTAACAATGAGATAATTTTTCTTCTAAGGATTTTTGCTTTTTATTAGGTAATAGTACACTTTCATGATAAGGATATAGAAAAACCATACAACAACAATAATTATTCGGTAAAAATTTTTGTTACACCAATTCAAACGCCATTTAAGGAAAAAATGATATCAATGTGCAAAGTAAGTTTAAACATCTCAATATATGTTAGTGTGTTTTTTCTTATTTACTATAATTGGGCAAGCCTATATTAATGAAGCAAATTCCGACGGAAAATTCGCTAAATTCACCGTGATTAACATCGGTTAAATTTCCGAACTAGGTAAAATAGGTTATATCCAATTTTGTACTATTGCCCCTGTCTGCATGGGCTAGACTTTGCATAATGAAAGTATATACAAAATTTGCAGCTTTTGATAAAAAAAGGACTAAAATGCTTTATAGTATCTGACATTATTTCTCGATTTTTAATTTGCCCAATCACGAATGTAAAAAAAAACAAATTCAATTTTTGTGTATATAATAAAAAATTATTGTTTATATCTGAAATTTCTTTTGCATTTATTAAAAAAAAATGTACTAAATAAATATTTATAATTTGAAAGCTCTCTGGTTCTTGTGATTATTTTATAAAAATTTATTAAGAAATAATTTAAAATTAAAATAAAAAAACGATGCTAAAATTGTGAAATATTGACTGACCACTCTAACAACATCCACTACTATATTGTTGTGGCACCGGTGCACCTTGTCCAACTTTAACAGTTTGTTTTGGTGCTCCAGTTGAGACTGTTGTCGTGCCCATTCTGTTATCATTATCATTATTGTTAATATAATTAGTAAGTGTTAAAAGGGATAATTTTTGTACTTAATATATAGTTAGCAATTATGATCTTTTGTTTTAATACTAATATATACCTGTCTTTAATCTGTTTAGCCATTGTTAAGAAGGCTTGTTCAACATTTGTAGCATTTTTAGCTGACGTTTCCAAGAATGGAATACTTAATTGATCGGCAAACTCCTAATAAACAAATAATATGTATATATACAAAATATATAAATATATAAATCAACATTAATTAATTTATAAACCGATAAAACAAATCGGTAAAACTGACCTTTGCAACTGAATATTCTACAGCTTTCTTATTTGCTAAATCATTCTTATTTCCAAC